CAGTTTGTGTTTTTTTATTTTATTTATGCCATTTTCAGCTGGTGCTTTATATAGTAGTTCCATACACCAGGTCCTACGAGAATGAGATATTTGATTTCATCCCACTGCTATTACTTCAAATCCTTAGCACAATCCAATTCTTGTGTCATGCACACCTCCTCCTCTATTTTCAGCAATGCTTGGCTTTGAGCTACTAGAATATTTCATTGACATATTCCTGCTTTTTTAATGCCAAATTCATTAATGAATTTAACGATGGAGATTTTTCCATTCTTGTATTATTCTGCATCTTTTCATTCTTGATTACTATTGCTCCACTCTAATGTGGTGTAATAATAGTTATTAGTTCTTAAATAGATATAGATTAACTATACATGTAGTCCCCAAAATTAAAAATACATGTAATGGATGTGAAATAATAAAGGTAAACTAGTTCTACTCTTGGGAAACCTGTGATACTGTTTATTGCATTATGTTTACGTATGTCTTAGTTTCTTTCTTGTAAATGTTTTCCAGTACTGAAGCTTGACTGACATTTTATTTTTTCTTGACACCTTGTGTCTTAGAATCAGAGAAAAGAAAAAAAAAAACACATTATCAGTTTTGATACCCTGGGAAGAAGATTATCTCCTCCTCTCCATACGAGAGCACTGAACCTGCTCTGACTTTTAGTGCCATTATCATCATTCTTCATCAGCCCATCTTTTTGCTCATCAATATCATCCTTATCAAAAATTAAGGCAAGGTGAAACTGTTCTTTTAATTTTGGGGAAGAAATATATGCTATCTTTAATCATGAACAGATGTCATCCCTGTTGCAAACCTCCTTCTTATGTGGTTAAAAGCCATAGACTGCAGCCTTAATTCTTCTTAAGACTTAATTCTCTTGCAGTCTGATGATCACTTAAAGCCAGCATAAGCTTTGACCCAGCTACCCCTTCACTCATTTGCTGTCACAGGTAGTGCCTCATATAACAAATGGAATTGGGGAATCCATGTATTTAAAAACCCCTTTTCCCCTCCCTAGGTGTTGAACCCAGATGAATTCTTCTACCCAGTTTATCCAAACAGCTCTTCAAATGCTTGTGCTGCCACCAGAGAAAGTGTGATTGGGAGATAAAAACAAGTAGTCAGACACATTTAGCTACACCAGCTTGATGTGACCACAAAATTACAGTGTCTACTGGCTCTCCTTTTGGTCATACTTAGCTCTAGACCTTTTGATTTTCAGCGAAACTTTCTTGGCTTGTTAGTCCCTAATTCATGTTAAATATTCTTTATGGAAACTCCTTTTACCTTAAGACACCAGTTTCCTCCAATTTGAAACCCTGAAATCTCAGTGTGATTTGCCTCATTAACTAGTCCTTAAATTTTCAGCTAGCTTTGTTTATACTTCCATTGTCTTCATAAAGAATGATTACTATTATTTAATTTAAAATTACTTTCAGGTTTTCTGGTTTCCCCACCCCCACCATTCCCAAGCTGCAATCATTCCTCTTACTCTGCCCTATTTATTGGCTGAACTGGGCATATTCTATCTTCTCCAAATAAAAAGACAATTTTGTTCTCTAGAGGAAAGAATATAGTTTCGATAATGCAACAAAAACAGGTGAAGCCTGAAAATCTGCCATTAATATGTTACACATGTATTAAATAACCCAGCATAACTGGGGTTTACATGTACCTTTTAGCCCCTCTGATCAGCATCACTGCTTACAGCCACTAAGAGAACACCACTGACAGAGAGTTTGCCAGGGAAGAGAGAATTTGTTACTCTTTGTTTATAGTGTGTTTTGTACTTAAATGTAACACAGGGCAGAAAAAGAGGGTGAAAAAAAAAAGGGTGGTTTGGTTAAAATCCTTAGCATAGGGAGTTATTGAAGCTTTCTTATTAGTCTGAGCAATTTATGAGCAGAAAATAAATGAATACCACATACAAGAGCGTTGTTACTTAAGGGTAAGGTTCTCTACAAACGTATATGCATTTTTATATTACTATTTACTTAGTGTGACAGTTTATTGGCATCTCTTCCTTATGATGCATCTACCACACTGCACATTATGCTTTTCTGAGGAGGCAACTAAAGTAAGAGAAGACAAATCATTTGAAATAGCCTATTTCTAATTTTAATTAGCACAGTGAATTAATTTTAAAGTTTTACATATAAATTGCTCGTAGCTTTCTAACCACTATAACCTTACAGTTTTTCTTTCCCCTTTACTTCAGTCCTGCACTGGATGTGAATTTGTAAAGCTCCCTCTCACCAATATTTCTCAGGTTTTGTTATTATGTTATGCTCATCTTTTTCAGTGTTTTGCAATAAATGCTTTACTATTGCCAGTAAATGGAATGTTTCCAAAAGACAATAATTTTCAATATTAGAGAAACGAATAACACCAAAGAACTGTAGTCAGGAAAAACAAGAGGGAGAAAACACTTCTGAACATATCTCTGTGTGATGTCGCATCTGTCATCAGCTTTCATAAGGTACTGAATGTCTCACTTGGCTCTACACGTTATGGATGTCATTTCATCCCAAATCTGTCTCCTTTTTAGGCAAAGTTGAACTAAATCACCATCAGGTGGCTAATCAAGCTCAGTGTTCTAGACAATGTTTCAGATTAAGACAGGTCAGATATTAAACATCTTGAGAGGGAATGAAGGCCATGCTTATTCCATTTTAGGAACTCTACTCAGGTTATCTGACTATATATTCCTTTCTCTTTTCACATTAACAACACTTTGGTCCATGAAAGAAGACTAGAAAGACTTCGAATGTATCACGGTACTCCAAATTTAATGAAAAAAAACATAAAAATCAAAAATCTACCAGTATGTTTGTAGAGGAAACTGTGAATTTAGAACTATTTTCACTATTTCACTATTTGTCATGCACGAACCTCAGGCTGAGCACTTGCACAGATCAACACACAGATATTTCGGTTGCTTTTACCTAGAGTAAGTAACTTTGCATGTTGAACACAAATGTCCTGTGGGTCCTCGCATTCTTTTTTGCTTAGAGCAGACAACAGACATCTATTTACATCTCCTTATTTTTCCTGCCGCTAGATGCTGCCATTAATATGAGCATAAAACACTAAAAAGGGAGACAAACGACACTGTCTGCACTGCGAGCATCAGACCCCATCACATCCATTATAGCATTTTGATAAGATACAAGTTAAAAGGAAGAAAAAAAACCCTTTAGATAACATAAACGTTAATTAAACTGTGATTTCAAGTTAAAAACTGAACTGTCAGGTAATTAGACAGGTGATTAAACTTTCTTCAACTTCACTAAGATACCTGCTTACTCTCCAAACAGTGATATGTGTCAATGCCATTGAGAGGCCAGAGCTGTGCTACTTTTAGGGCAACATTCTAGAAGAGTCATGATCCATACTTCTGAAGCTGCAAAAACTGGGCTCAAAAAGCACTGGCAAATCCCAAACCTGAACCTCTTTGTAAATGGCAAGACAGGATCCACACACCTGTTCTAACAACTCCTCATACACCAGGTCCTGCTACACATTCTCTGCAGGAAAGGACCCAGATACTGATTTCATGTACATCATGCTCACTTCAGTAAAGAATAAATATCATAGTCACAAACAACAAGAGAGAGCTGGAAAGCAAGTTCAGATCATAAGTATGCATAGCAAAAGCAGAAAACACACTACATAACTTGATATTTTCTTTCTTTGGGGTTTTTTTCTAGCCCTGTAAAGCTTCATTCTGTGAAGAATCCAGTTTGACTGCCTAGAATATTCTTAAGGGTATATTTCAGCCTCAAATACGTAAACACAAACAAAAGCAAGCAATGAATAATGTTTTCAACATAACATCCAAAACCTCTGATGGTTCTTGTCAGCTGTCTATCAGCTTGGAAAAAAACTGAAAAACATTCAGGAAACATATCATTTTGCAAATTTTAAAAAGTCTGAAACTGAGGATCCCCAGGTACTAGTTTATGAATGAAAAGAAAAAGAGAATGAACCTCACCCATTCAAAAAGCCCCTCAGACTCCAGTCCTGGGTAGAACAAGGCAAAGGCAGAAGGTGATTTCCAAGAGCCAGGCTGGATGTGTCAGAGGCAGTTTGGAGTCAGAGGGAAGGCTCTCTGCTGGATGCTGTACTGACCATTGCAGATTGTAACTACCTTCTCACACAGCTATTTCAAGTGCATAGCACTCACCAATTCATTCCTCATGATATACTAAAGCAGCTGAAATACACCTTTTGGGCCAAGTTCTGCCCAGAACAGATGTATTTTCAAATCACTTATTAAGCCGTTAACAAGGCCTTAGAGGCTTAGAGACATTCAGGTATCTCTTTATCAATGGCACAGTTCAATTTAATCCAGATAAGGAGCCTCTGGACAATTAACAGTTGACTAAAGTTCAGTGGAATCTCCAACTGGCTATCACAGCATAGGAAGCAATGCCAGTATCCACAGCTCTAGTGTGGTCTGGAGCTCACCTTGATTTTGCCCAGCTTTCTGACACCACAAGAAGGCAGTCACGATGGCAGAAGCAAGAAGACAAACTCTTTTGAGATTATTACTACACGCCATTGTTGTTTCCAAAAGACAAATCAAGAAGCCCTTACTTCTGGAGACTTCAGTCTCTTTGCAGACCTTCCGTGAGTTCTCCCTAATTAACTGCGGCAAGTAGGGGTTTTGGAGAGGGAAACAGGTTAAAAAAAGTCAACTCCCTCAGCGCAGTATTTATGACTGTAAGGGCAACAGCATTAACCTCATCAGAAAGCTCCTCTGAGTATAACACAGCAGGTCTATAAAAATACCAGGTCATGCATAAGCCCTTAACATCTCAAAGTGTTTTATTTCCAACGGTCAGACTTCATGTTTTTAGAAATATAGCGTTTCTTCAGCCACATTAAAATCAATATTTGTTTTTAATAATTACCTGGTGAAAAAAAAGCGCCCCACTTCCAAGACTCGAATGATTTAACAAGTGAGATGACCAGAGTTCATCACTTACTGGACTCGGGGTCCGAGTTGCCGTCTCCCTCCGTCCGGCTGTTGGGGGAAGCCTGCTCATAGTACTCCTCCTGGGGGAAGCCGAGGGGCAGAGGGTGGGATGTGCTGGCCCCACTCGTGGGTTCGTGGTCTCCAAGCCCACTGTCACTGCAGCTTTCCTGGGAGCCATCTGGGAGGTGAAACGTGACACGGCGCTGAGGCTACAAGGAAGGAACAAAATTATATGGTTTCCACTACAGTATCAGTAATTGCTTAATGCAGCCAATTTAGGAAATGTATTATTTCGGTTATCTGCTGGGGATGCATTACCGAGAGTTGTGCACAATTTCAGGCTTTCATGAGCAGGCAGCCTGCTTTCAAACCTGCTTCACCTGACAGCACCGCTTGCTGCTGTTTTTTAAAAATGTAAGCCCTGATGCAAAATGAAAGACAGCTCAAACTAAAGAGATTCTGTCAGACTTCACAAGTCTTTGGATGCCTTTTGTATATTGACTTGGAGATTTCAATCATGTTTTGAGGCTCAATTTATTTTCCTGCTCAGTTTTCTAGTTTTCAAAAAACATTTTCTTTCCCATTAAAAGCTGTTCCACACTTTTGGGCCTAAAAAATGTGACACATTTATAATGCTGTTGGATTCTTCTAAAGCAGAGAAAGAACAAACAATAACAAGTCATATGAATTGAAAACTATTTTAATAGATTTCACACATCTGTTAAGCTAATGAATGAAAAGTAGATTCCATTACTCTCCTTCAGACATTTCATTACAACTCCCTTGATTTCTGTTATACTGCAGACCTGACCTTAAGTGTAAAAGGCTGGAAGCTGAGAAACAGTGAGCTGAGGAAGGAAAGCATCACAGTCCAGCTGCAGAAGGAAGGGCCAGGTGAAACGAAGCACCTGATGCAGCAGGCACAGGACAGTGTTTTCACTACCTAAGTGACTCTGCATGGTTTAGGAACTGAATAACTTAAACGTAAATCTGTCCCAGTATGAAAAGAAAATAAAAAAAAATAAATAAGCAGCTTTCCTTATTTTGATGCATATGTTTTCCATATTTTCAAAACAAGAAGACTGAAAAAAAACCTCAACAAAACCAAACCAAACCACAGTTTAAAATGTTCTTAGTGTCTTGTTACTCAAAATTCCATTTGAAAGGCAATTTAAATCTTTCCAGGTTTGGAACTTCTGGGATTAGTGAAGCTGGAGATCAGATTTTTGATGCAATTATGCAAAAAAGTATGTAGTGTTTATAATAGAGCAGATGTTGTCAGAGGTCTCTAGATATTTGGTTCCTATAGGGTGACGGTGTTGAAAACATTCAATTATATTAAGTTTTTGCTAAAAAGTTCTGTCCTTCCACTTTTCAAAATCTCTTTTTGTCACTGTGACATTATTCCACATGCCCACAGACAGCTGCTGTACAGTGTGTACAGCCAAGAACACGGCAGCATCAGCTCTACCTATGCAATTCCTGACAGATGTGAGTGACAGCTCCGCTTAAAAGCTACCAGTAAGACATTCAAGGCTTTCCCAGAAAACCTGTTTTAGTGCTTCACCACTGCTAATGGAGAGGTTTTCTTCTAATGTCGAGCCTGCCTCTTTCTTGTTGCAAAATAAATCACTTCTTCAGTCCCATCTATCATGGTCTGCTTATTCCCACTCATCTTTCTGACATTTGGCACTTTAGTCTGCTTCAGAATAAACGGACCTTATTATTTCAATCTGTCCTGTGCTTCTCAAACGTTGTCCCGCCCCCCCTGCACACACACACGGCCCTGTGCACTGCTCAGAACTCATTACACAGCTTCAGCCAAGATCCTTAAAGCACAAAGTACTGCAGAAGGATCATTTCACATCTCCTGCAGGACCCACCACTGCTTTGCCTTCTCCAAGGCAGTGGAACACATTTTCCTTGTCAACCACCATAATATCCAGGTCCTTTTTATTGACCATTTTCCTTGTTGTTCCCTTTTTGGTTATTGCCATTGATTGCAAGAGCCTAAGACTGGCACTTTGCCTTCACTCTTCCTGCCATTCTGTTTTTCCAGATGATTTCATCTGTTCTCATCAAGTACACTTTGCCTTCCAGTCCTGCTTTCCTGTTTATCAAATTTGCAGATTTTACACTCTCCCTTATTTGGCAGATCTTTAACAGAAATTGGAACAGATCAAGCCAAGACATCAAGCTCAAGTTGAGCTCTGAAAACCTGAACACAGAATGACTTCCCATTATTCAGGATAGAAAGGGGAGAAGACGTCCCTTCTGTGAGTGCTGGGGTAGCCTGACAGCACACTGGAAAAAAATTCAGATGATGAAAGGTTCCCAGCTAACACACCCACAGCCCCCAAGCATTTCTGGTGTCACCAGAAGAATCTTCTCGTTGAACTCCATAGTGAGCTGCCTACAGCTGCCCCAGGGCTCTGGAAGGCTGACTGGGACAGTGGTCCTGCCCCTCCTGCTGGCTTTTCCCACTACAGATGGGTGGAAATACATGGAATGTCTCTGCACAGTCAAAAAACAGATGGATCCACAGAAATTACTGACATGTAATTCTACTATTCCACTCGTCAGCTGCCTCTCAAAGCCCTATTCACACCAGCAGTGTCAATCAGCTCTTTTCTCCAAGTCCAAATAACTAAAGTTTTGTCAAATTGATCCAGTGAAAACATCCCAGCAATGTTTCTGATGTACTCCCTGCATTCAAAACTGCACTAAGCTTGCACAGCTAAGGCTTGTGGAAATGGAATATACTATTTCTTTGATGTGAAGTGAGTTTGGTATTCACAGTATCTATGAAAAAAATCCACTTTCATTGCTTGAGCTGTTTGTAAAAACCATATTTTGTGGAGTTTGCATTGCTGTTTTGTGTTGGGCCTATGATATTTGGTACCCACACTACCTTTTATCTTCTCCTCTCCAAACTACTATTGAATCTTAAGAATAAAGTACTCTTAAAGCCTTTTGTAGCCCAAGTTTTAGCATTAGATACCAGTATTAGCTTTTGCACATGACAGGAAATACAATGGTTAATACTATATGCAACTGGAATTCATTGTATGTAAATAAAAGAATATTTATTTTCATGGCTTGTTGTCAAAATACAGCAGAAGTTTTTAACCAGATGACAGTAGAGGAGATCAGAAAGTCATCAACTCTTTTTTTTCTGTTTTTTTCTTTAACTACCTAGGCCAGTGAGAAATAACAATACCCTAAACAAAATTCAAAATGCCACTAACTAACACTCACATTCAGTAAAAAACTGTAAATATTTGGTTGCATAAACTGAGATGTTATTAGTTGGAAGGATAAAACCCATATGATTTAAAATCAACTGGCATCAGCTAAAGGCTCCTGATTTTTAATTTGATGTCCCTGAGAATGTCACACCTGATAACGCTGATGACAGAGCACTTTCAGAAGAATTTATCAAGATGAAAAAAATCCAGCTATTTCTCTGCATGGCAGCGCTGCCATTTTCCTAATTCATGCAGGCATCAGACAGTGATCTGGAACAAGTAATTCTAATAAAATTTTGCCAAAAGCTGGGACTTATCTTCTGTCACAATTATTTTGGAAATTTCCTCCTTGAGGCATTTAAATTTCAATTTATAAGATTACAAAATATCCTCAGTCTCCAGCTGCTTTTCTATTTATCTCCGAAGGGAGTTAGCACCGATAGTAATAGAATAACAAGGATTATGGTTTGTTTTATTTATTTGAATGACAGTTAGCACACTGTTTCAAAAGGAGAGAAATGCAAGCAAACCTATTATGTATTCTTAGTGGGTTCTGATGTAGGAACTTGTAATACAGACAATTAAGCTGATAGGGGACAATGAAGTGAAAACTTAAGGAAAAATGTACAGTAATCTATAGTTTCTCTGACACATTTAACAATATTAAATTACTCTTTATTGGTATGAAAAAAGAATTTTGCTTCCAGAGATGTCACGAACCCAGACACAAATGCTGTCAGAGGTCTCATATGGCATTCACTGCGTTTGGTAGAAGCAGAGCGTGTCTGGAGGGATCAAATTATCTCAGAAAACCGCAAACCTTTTACTCTCATTATTGAAATTTATATGAAGACTGATCAAAGCCCCAAACTATTCTGTGTTCAATCTTTCACTGCAATAATTAGACTGTGGCAGTGGGAATAATAAAAGATGAGTCTAAGTAAATAGCTTTGGATACACTGAAGGGATGATTTCTGGAATTATACACTAGGGGTTAGCCAATTTATAATCAAAAAGGAAGAAAAAGGTAATAGAAAAAGCAGCAGATATCAACTGAGGAACATTAAACTATTAACCTTATTATCTTCATTCATTGGAGCAAATTAATATCCTTTTAAAAGGAGATCATAAAGAAAAAAACATTTCTTTTATAATTTATGCTGAATTATATTATTTAGATGATAATTCTGATTTAAAACAGACCTTATTTAGGAGATGTTCTAAGTGTAAAAGAATAGGACTACTTCAACATTTTCCTCCACTATTAGCAGTTGTAAATAAAGAAGTAGTAAGAAAAATGTTTGATTTCCTCAGTTTCTTGTGTCTTTCAAATGCTGGGAAGATGTGAAGTACCTTGAATAACCAGACAACAACTATCTTCAGGTATGACCAGTAATTCTCAGCTGTTAAAAAAAAAAAAACTTGATCAAACTACAATTTCCAGCTCAAATCTCTTTGGGCTCAACTATCACCTTTTGTTCCAAAACAACAATCCAATGTCTTTTGCCATAGGCTTACACTGAGACAAACGGGACCCAGCAACTATCAGTGCAAAATTCTTAGAACAACATGAAAACAAACAGCCTGAAAAGATCCAATGACAGACCCAATGGGAAATATGTCTTTGTGTTGAAACTCAACAAAGACAAGGCAGTATTTTCATTTTTCCTTTCCCTAAACTTAGTAGTGAACAGCACAACTATTATGGCCCAAGGAGTTTCTATCAACTGTTTTATAAATCTGTATTTCACATAATTTTTGCAACTTGGAGCACTAAATTAAATAACTTCTATATTTTTACCAGCAAGGATCTGCATGTCTCTTGGAGCATCTACAAAGATGCCGAACATTCTTGGTCACCATTATTACACACAATAAGAAACACTTTATCAAAGGCAAATCACTGTTGCAATCACCTTTTCTAATTTAGTAGTGGCTTTTTTATAATTTTTTAATATGCC